GCAAGTCCAGCAGCGAGGTGTCTGGCGGCGGCATCCCCAGCAGCAGTTCCCTGCAGAGGAAGAAGCTCATCTCCATCTGCGACCACTGCAAGATCAAGATGCAACTGGTGGCCGATCTGCTGCTGCTGTCGAGCGAGACCAGGCCGGTGAACACCGAGAGCCTGTCTGTCTTCGGTGAGTCCTTCGAGAAGTGCAGGGACACGATCATTGCCAGGACCAAAGGACTCTCCATCTTGACCCATGACGTCCAGAGCCAGCTCAACATGGGACGCTTCGGGGAGGTGGGGGAAAGCCTGATGGAGATGGGGGAGCTGGTGGTCTCCCTGACCGAGTGCTCTGCCCACGCTGCCTACCTGGCCGCAGTGGAGACTCCGGGGGCCCAGCCCGCTATGCCTGGCTTGGTGGATCGCTACAAGGTGACCCGATGTAGGCATGAGGTGGAGCACGGCTGCGGGGTCTTGAAGACCACCCCTTTGGCAGATATGAGCCCTCAGCTCCTGCTGGAGGTTTCTCAGAACATGTCCAAGAACTTGAAATTCCTGACAGACGCCTGCGTGCTGGCCAGTGAGAAATCCAAGGATAAATTTGCTAAGGAGCAGTTCAAACTCAGTGTCAAATGTATGAGCACCAGCGCCTCTGCCCTCTTGGCGTGTGTCAAGGAGGTCAAGACTTCACCCAGCGAGCTGACCAGGAACCGATGCGTCTTGTTCAGTGGACCTTTGGTGCAGTCTGTCTATGCTCTGGTGGGCTTTGCCACTGAGCCCCAGTTTTTGGGTAAAGCTGCCACCATTAATCCAGAGGGCAAAGCTGTGCAAACTGCCATCCTAGGAGGAGCCATGAGTGTGGTATCTGCTTGTGTGCTCCTGACCCAATGCCTCAGGGATATAGCCCAACACCCCGAAAGTAGCACCAAAATGAGCGATTACAGGGAAAGGTTGAGGAACTCAGCTTGCGCCGTCTCGGATGGTTGCAACCTGTTATCTCAGGCACTAAGAGAAAGATCTTCACCCAGGACTTTACCGCCAGTGAACTCCAATTCTGTGAATTAACCCCCCCCACATCTTCTGTTTAGATCCCAGTCATTGCTAAAGGAAAATAATATCCCACCTCCTCACCCCTTTTTTGTATACCAAAGAATTTGCTTGGATGAGCCCAATCGTTTGATTTCATGTGGTGAAGAAGCAGAACAGCGTTTTCAAACTATACGTACTAACAAAGGTAGCCAGTTTTGGCTTCTTTTTATTTTACTTTAAAGTCAAGCGAGTATCTGTAGATAAATTTTCCTTTATTCAGCAAGGTCTTCACACAAATGGTAATAACAACTGTTTAAAAGTTTTTTATATTTGGGGAGGTGGGGGTATCTTAAAAAAAAAAAGGAAAAAAAAAAAAAAGCTTTAATCGCGCTGGGTGCGGTTTTTAAAGTTTGTCTTGTCTTGTCTTCCGAAATTTCCCTTCTAAATTTTACTGTTCGGTTGTGCAGGAAAAAAGGTTACCTCAGTTCTCACTCATTTAAAAAATGAAAAAAAACCCAACAACACATAGATGATGGATGTAGCTACTATTTTGTTTGTTTTTGTTTTGTATGACTTTTTTTTATTTTGCATCAAGTGTTAGGTTAGAAGTGCATTTGGTGTGTAGGAGTGGAAGGACTGGAGGTTGTGATTATGTTTTCCATGTGCTGATTTCCAAACTGGGGGAAAAGCTACTGTGAGTGTTTAAACAAACAAACAAAAAATTACACTATAACAAAAGTGATTTTTAATTTTTTTTTCCAATGTCAGTTTTTATCTTGCATGTACTGGAGTATTTATTTCATCTATTAAAATGTTATGTTTCTCAGATGTCTTTCTGTGAATCTCTTAATACTTGAATAATCGAACAACTAGGCCTGTTTGCATTGTATGTCATTTTCCCCAGGGAATGGGTGGTACAAATGTAACTAGTTCTAGACAGCAGCATACAGGCTTCAATTCAGTCCTTTTATTTTCATAAATACTGTCCCTCCCGCAATACCACCCCTCCTCCTCAGGACGCCTGTGACAGAGATACTCTGTGGTTGTATTTATGGAAAGCTGGACAGTGCTGCAGGCATTGGGATTGCTCTGGCTGCAGAGCGCTGGCGGCTGCGGCAGCGGGGCATAGGCTGGCTTTGTTTGTCTTTATCAGCATTCTGCCTTATCTTGGAGAAGTTGGTGTATTTTAACTCTTGCAGATGTTGTGGGCCATCTGCGTTAAATTTGTGAGTTTCCGTATTAATTTATTAAGGATTTCTTGAAAAACGTTACCCTGCTGGATAGCCCTGCTTGTTCCGTGTCTCTGCTTAGGAGTGTGAAGGTTTGCCAGAGCGGGCCCTTTGATTCCTCAGCGGTTTGTGTCGCAGCTCCTCGGTACAGGTTTCTGTCAAAGTAGTTCTAGTTTGATGTTGCAGGTAACAGGGAAAGTTAGCTAACTTTTGAGGCCCAGTCCACCTCCAGTTGAATTCCTTGGGAACTGTGAGTGGACCTTAGGGTATACTGCACTAGTTCCCGTAACTGCAATGATGACTTTTTTCAGCCTGGTCTTTGTGGACCTGTGGGGTCTGTTGCCTTCTATATGTTCCATGAAAGGTAAAGAGAAGAGCAGGTCTTCTGGCAAGGAGGCTTTGTTTGTCTGCCCAGCTCCATTGCATAACTGGATTTTTTTTTTTTTAATAGGTCTGCAAATTGTTGAAAGCTATTGGAGAATGTACCTTAAAAATGTTGTTGCCATGGTTTAAGCCTTTACTGTACAAGTACTGTCCTCTTTATGCCTTTGAAGAAGTAAACCTTTTGGGTTTGGATATGGAACAGTCCTGGAGTAGTGAAAGGTCTTCCTTTTATAGCATGATTGTTTCTCTTGCGTGTGATGCTTTTACTTAATTTCAAAGGGGAGTGAAACATTACTGGGTAGTGGACAAAGACATCCTGTGGAAGGAGATACGAGCTAAGTTATATATCCGTATCTTCAGGGTTAGAAAAAAATAATTCCTTGTCTTAAGTACAGCAGACCCCAGTATTACATTTTGTTTATTTTTAAATGAAACTTTTCTGACTTCAGTGAATTTTATGATTAGGACTTTCCTTTGTGAAAAATCAGCCCAAGCTACATTCCTCTGGGGTACGATTTTCTCACTACGTTATCTCAGATGCAATATAAGCCTAGCAGTATATGCTGCAGAGGCATGGACGCCCGCATCTCTGCGGTATAGTATAGAAGTTCTGTCACTGTCTTTTCATAAATAACTGAATATATACACATGCTGTTCTAACTTTGACTTAGATGCCTCCACAGGTATTTCCTCGGAGGCTCTCTTGCCTGCGCGTGCACACACGTTTTCCCATCTGGATGGCAGGAGCAGCTGTAGGGCTCCGGAGAGATTCACAGGAGGCCAAGGCCGTCTACGGGGAGGTCCTGTGCCTCCGTAGTGTTCGCGGCTGCCTGCTCAACTATCCGTTGCATCTCCCTCCCTTGTAGCACGTCTCCGTGGAAGCCGAGATACCCTCCCAATCTACCCTTCCTTCTTTTCCGCAGTTGCACTGGGGGGAAGGAGGAAAAAGGGATTGTAGCAAGCGTAACGCTTTCAGGATGTACGGTCTTCTGTGGCTCAGCCAGGAGGCGAGGAACTGGCTCCACCCTTCCTTTGCATAGACCCTCGATGGTGCCGAACTTCGTGGGGGACGTGCGGAGATGGTGCTGAGGAGGCTGCAGGGCAGCGCTGCGCGGGGGGGGTTCAGGTACCAGGGCGGCATCCTTTAGCTCCGGTTCTTTAAGTTACTGTGACCTACATTTGTGAGGCCTGCTTCCAGGCAGAAACCAGAGGATTCTGAAGGGCAGCTCTGCAGCATATCTGACAAAAAAAAAAATTAAGCGTCCCACTGGCTCTTTTGATGTTTCTACTTAATCATTTTTGGCGCTGCTGAACTAATTAGATTCTTTTTGATTCATTTATACATTATTGAGGTTGTATGGATCGCAGAGCCTCCTTATTACCTCTGCATATGAAAGGCAATATATTTTTAATGATAGTGCCAATTTGTGTTGTCGTAAGATTTTGTTTGAAGCGGTTTAGTGCAATTTTTGTTTTCAGC